CAAGGTTGTGTAAGCTGTCCGACCATAAGCACTGGGCTCCAAAAGGCCTGATCATGCACCAGGGATGGATCCTGATCCCACTGCCAGGGGTCCCCTTAAACAGTTCAATTTATTCAACTATCTCTCCTATGCAGAAGGCATAGTGTGGTCCAGGGGAACTTCACAGCTATTAGTCCACAGTTCATGATTTCCCACTAGTTTGGTTTAGTTGTCTCTGTAGGTTTCCCCATTGTGATCTTGATGCTTCTTGCTCATAGAATTCCTCTTTTCTCTCATCAGATGGACTCCTAGAGCTTGGCCTTGTGCTTGGCTGTGAATCTCTGCACCTGTGTCCATCAGTTACCGGATGAAGCCCCCCCACCCCCAGTTTGTTCATGGAGATCTCATCTATTTCTCCTTCACAGGGCGATCCATTCATTCCTCTTTGGGTCTTCCTTATTAGCTAGCTTCTTTGGAGGTGTGGGTTGTAGTCTGGTTATCCTTTGCTTTACATCTAGTGTCCACTTATGAGCAAGTACATACCAGGTTTGGCCTTCTAAGTCTGGGTTACATCACTCAGGTGTTATTTTCTAGTTATATCCATTTGCCTGCAAATTTGATGTTGTCATTGATTTTTACTGCCGAGTAGTACTCTATTGTGTATATGAGCCACCTCATTTATCCATTCTTCAGCTGAGGGGCATCTAGGTTGCCCCTCAGCTGAAGAAACCGCCATACTGATTTCCACAGTAGTTGTACAAATTTGCATTCCCACCAACAGTGGAGGAGTGTTCTCTTTGCTCCATATCCTCTCCAACATAAGCTATTATCAGTGTTTTTGATCATAGCCACTCTGACAGGTGTAAGATGGTATCTCAGAGTTGTTTTTATTTGCATTTCCCTGATGACTAAGGATGGTGAGCAATTTCTTAAATGTCTTTTAGCCACTTGAGATACTTCTGTTGAGAATTCTTTGTTTAGCTCTGTAGTCCATTTTTTAATTGGATTGTTTGGTATTTTGATGTCTAGTTTCTTTTATTCTTTATATA